AGAGGAACTTCCAGTCTTCTGGGAGAGAAACAAAGAAATGTACCTGAAGCAGAGTAATTAAGTGCCACCAACTGTGCCAGCACAAGGATTCAGGCCATTGTTTGCTTAAGAGGCAGCCCTGGGAGTGACCCTAAGTCAGGAGTGTGCACAGGGCTGGCCAGCCCGGAGGTCCCTGAGGGCAGGGCCTCCGGCTTCCCATTCTTCCGTGGTTCCCACAGTGCCCCGGGCCGCTGGGCTCACAATGAGCTTCAATGCTTGCTTTTGACTAAACCTTTCCCCCTTTGTATCTGTCTCAGTGTCTCTCAGCATCTCTGTCTCTCTAAGTCTCTGGCTCCCTCTTGTTTCCCAACATCCTTCCCGAGCCCCTAGGGAGTAAGGCTGGGGGGGCCAGGCAGTGGGAACGGGACAGCGTCCTGTTCTCACCAAGGACAATAAGGGCCGGAAAGGGCTGGAGCCAAGGCTTGGTGTGGGCTCCCGCTCCTTCCCTGCCCTGCCCCCCAATCCCCCCAACCCCCGCCTAGTCCTGACCCTTGGTGTACCCTAGGTGCCAGGAGAACCGTTGCAATGATGCCAATCCAGTGGGAGTCCAGATTCAGCTAAGATCAGGAGTCTCCTAACCCTTGGCCTTCCCTTCCCACTGCTCTCTGGAGGGACAGAAAGAGCACCTCCACGGCACCTCCCCCACCAACCTCCCCTCTCTCTCTACAGCTCCCCCTTCAGTATTATTTACTCCTGTTTCCGGAGCTGGTGGCGGGTGCTGACGGGTGTCAGGAGCGCGTGTGAGAGAGCGGGAGGAAACATCTGGCTTCTGTCCTCAGGGGCCACTGGTGGAGACCGTCCCAGTCTCCCCTAGGCTTCCAGCCTCCGGGGTGAAGCAGAGGCCCAAGATCAGAGAGACCAGGAGGTTAGCACCTTTGCCCTTCTCACCCTCAGGTCTCCGGAAGCCATGGTGCCCTCACACCCCCTTACTTAATGATGGTGATTAGGTGGCTGTGATACCCCTGCCAGGGTTAATTAGCAGGTCAGGCACAGGCAGCCTGCAACTAGGCACCCCAGAGATAGGCTGGGTGGAGAGTCAATGTTGGCGCCAGCCTGCCTTGTAAATGCACCCAATCCCCAAGGAAGGCATCATTATTCCTATGCCACATGCTGCCCCAGGTGCCCAGGCAGTGGGGTGGCAGCAGGTATACCATCTTTTGACAGTGTGCAACACCAGCTCTCCAGCTCCTCCACCTTCCTCCCAGACACAGGTGATTTTGTCTGCTTTCTTAATGGAAGACCTGGTGCCTCCAGGTAACCAGTTCCCCAGACTATATCTGTCTTGGTCTAGGACCTGGCCTTATGCCCACTGCCTTCACCCCAGATTGTGGCTGTTAGGTGTCATGCAGTCCTGTAGGTTGGTTCCAATTCATAGTGACTTTGTATAGGGTTTCTGAGACTATAAATCTTTATGGAAGCAGAAAGCCTCATCTTTCTCAGGCAGAGGCTGCTGAGTTTGAACTGCTGATCTTGTGGTTAGCAGTCCCATGCTTATCCTACAGTGCCACCAGCGCTCCCTCACCTGACTAGGGGAAAATCGAGGTTTGATGAAGCGAGACCTAGAATTAATCCAGTCTCTCCATAGGTCCAGGGCCACTCAAATTCATCCCAAAGCAATTTTGAACAACTTCCTCTTCCCTCCAAGAGGTTCCCTTATGCCACACTCTTCACCCCATCACCACCAGGTGAGTTGGAGCCTAGCCGTGCCATCCCCTCTCATATAGGATCTGGTTTCCATGAACTGCTGTCACTCCCAGACCAGAGGGGAAAGATGGAGTTTCCCCTCCTAATTGGGCCAGCCTTTCCAGTCCCCCAAGATTAGTATTCATTCCAAGACTCAAAAATCAGTAGCTCCTCTCCTAAACCCTACAGACTGTGGATTACAAACAAGGTGTTGCTGACTCCTGCAGGCCATTTTTGGCAGATGTGAGCTCATGGCACCCTCTGTAGGCAGACAGGCAAAACTACACAGCATCCCTTCAGCCCCTAGAATCTAGGGCTTAGTAGATAGAAGGACAAGGGTTTGAGGTTCTGGTCACAGATAGGAGGGGAGGGATGCTTCTAATCCTTGATCTGCCTTCCTTAATTTAGTCACTTCACTGAGTCTTCTTTCCTATCTTGGATTCCTCACATGTACAGAATTCATCCTGGAAGGAAAAATTCTTTCATTAAACCATTCCACCAGTTTTTGCTACCAATATCAGGCACTGCGATGAATACAAAGCTGACAGATGTACTGTGCACACCCTAAAGGGCATGCTATCTAGCAGGAGAGGGTACCTAGATGCCTCAAGGGACAGGCACCTTGGACAGAGGCATTCCTTATGACAGAGCACTGACAGGACAGGGCTTGAGATGCCATCTTCCTAGTACCAAGAACAGAGGTTGGGGGCCGTGTCCTAAAATTTATTGTTGTTGTTAGGTGCCATTGAGTCGGTACTGACTCATAGCAAACTTATGCACAGCAGAACGAAACACACTGCCCGATCCTGGGCCAACCTTACTACTGTTGCCATGCTTGCGTCCATTGATGCTGCCACTTGGCCAATCCATCTCGTTGGGGGTCTTCCTCTTTTTCTCTGACCCTCCACCTTACCAAACATGATATCCTTCTCCAACGACTGGTCCCTCCCAACAATATGTCAAAAATATAAGAGACGAAGTTTAGCCATCCTGGCCTCCAAGGAGCACTCTGGCTGCACTTCTTCCAAAACAGATCTATTGGTTCTTCTGGCAACCCATGGCACTTTCAATATTCTCCTCCAACACCACAACTCAAACGCATCAATTCTTCTATGATCTTCCTTATTCACTGTCCAGATATTGAATGCATATGACGTTACTGAAAATGCATGGCTTGGGTCAGGCGCACCTTAGTCCTCAACCTGACATCTTTGCTCTTCAACACTTTAAAAACATCTTGTGCAGCAGATTTGCGTAATGCAATATGTCGACTGATTTCTTGACTGCTGCTTCCACCAGTGTTGATAGTTGACCCAAGAAGAATGAAGTCCTTGATAACTTCAATCTTTCCTCCATTGATAAGAGTGTTGTTTACTGGCCCACTAGTCAACACTTTTGTTTTCTTTACATTGAGATGTAATCCATATAGAAGGCTGTGCTCTTTGATCTTCATCAGTAAATGTTTTAAGTCCTCTTCACTTTCAACAAGCAAGGTTGTATCATCTGGATATCACAGGTTGTTAATGAGTCTTCCTCCAATCTCGATGTCATGTTTTTCTTCATATAACCCAGCTTCTCGGATTATTTGCTCAGCATACAGGTTGATTAAGCATGGTGAAAGAATACAACCTTGTCACACACCATTCTTAATTTGAAAACATTCAGTGTTCCCACGTTCTGTTCAAACAACTGCCTCTTGGTCCAGGTACAGATCTCTCATGAACACAATTGTTTCTGAATATTCATACTGCACAATGTTGTTCATAGTTTATCGTGATCCACACAATCGAAAGTCTTTGCGTAGTCAATAAAGTACAGGTAAACATTTTTCTGATATTGTCTGCTTTCAGCCAAGATCCATCGGACATCAGCAATGATATCCCTCGTTCCACGACCTCTTCTAAATCCGGCTTGAACCTCTGGAAGTTCTGTCAATGTATGCTTGCAGCCATTTCTGTATTACCTTTAGTAAAACTTTACTCACATGGGATATCAAAGAGATTGTCCAATGATTTCCATGTTCTGTTGGGTCACCTCTCTTTGGAATGGGCACAAATATGGATCTCTTCCAATCAGCCGCCCAGATAGTTGTCTTCCAGATTTCTTGGCAGAGATGAGTGAGTGCCTCCTGTGCCACCTCACTTTCTTGAAAGATTCAAGTTGTATTCCATCAGTTCCTGGTGCCTTGTTCTTTGCCAATTCCTTCAATGTACCTTGGACTTCCCCCTTTAGTATCATTGGCTCTTGATCATATGCTACCTCTTGAAACGGTTGAACATTAACCATTTTCTTTTGTACAGTGATTCTGTATATTCCTTCCAACTTCTCTTGGTGCTTTCTGCATCATTCAATAATTTTCCCAGAGAATCTTTCAATAACAAAAGTTGAGGCTTGAATTTTTTCTTCAGTTCCCCCAGCTTGAGAAATGCTGAGCGTGTTCTTCCTTTTTGGTTTTCTGATTCCAATCTTTGCACATTTTGTTGTAATACTTGGTTTTATCTTCTCAAGCTGATCTTTGAAATTTTCTAAATTTCTAAATTAAGAACATCCTAAAATTCAGGATGTTCCTAATTCCTTAGCTAAGGAGCTCTGGTAGCGTAGTGGTTACAAATAGGGCTGCTAATCTCACGATCAGCACTTTGAAACTACCAGCTGTTCCGCGGGAGAAAGATGAGGCTTTCTACTCCCAAGAAGATTTACAGCCTCAGAAACCCTGTACAGGGTCACTATGAGTCGGAACTCCACAGCACATAACAACAACAACAAATTTCTTAGCTATGAGACACAGAAGAAAAATAAAGGCATCATAATAGGAAGGGAGTCTTTCCAAGAGTAGGGAATTCCCTCCTAGGGACTTGGAACAGAAGGAGCAGGAGGCTCATTTGCTGAAGGTGGAGAGTTGGAGTAGCAGAGCACCACAGGCGGTATATGGAAACCCAGAGCACAGTGCAGGGTGACAGAACTTTCCTTTTCTTACTTTTCTATTCCAAAGTCTATACTAGTTCTGATGGGCAGGACTTTCTGCATTGTAGTCTTTATTGCTTTTCCTAAGGGTCAAGACCACTGGTCATCTGTGCATTATTCTTCCAGGATAAGCATCTCACACAAGCTCACGCCACTCCAGGGCCTGACAATGACTACATTCAATAAATGCCTAGTGAATGAAGCTAGAAGAAAAGTCCCTGCATCCCAAGGTCTGAAAACACTATATCTAAGATCCTTCATACCCAAGTAGGCATTGGCTGATGAGGCTTACAACAAATCACAGCTCACAGAACTACAAAGAATCAATTTTATTGGACATTCAGGGTCAATTTCTCTTCTTGCCCTTGCCTGTGACCTTGGCTGGTGTGAGGACTGGAGCTGTTGCCTGGTACAGAGTGGAGGAGATCTTGTTGATGTAGTACAAACCAACCATGGAGAAGATGAAACTACAAGGTGAAGACAGAAAGAAGGTCACATCATCAGTAGTCATGTTGCCAGCCTGGTGCTTCCTAGGGCAGATACTAGCATAAGGGAAATAATCCAAGTTCAGGTTTAGGAAAATGGGAAGGACAAAGGAGGGAGAACAGAGCGACTAGGAGGTAGGGGGAAGAAGGCCTGGCAGGATCCAGAGCAAAAGGCCAGGGCGCTGTACCCCTTACCCAGCTTTCAGGCACATACCAGGTGGTGACACACACTCGGTGGATCAGGCCGGATGCAAAGAGAGCCAACAAGAGGCAGAGGAGAACTAGGGAGGCAAGAGGGGACAAAGAGGGCAGTGGTCAGAGTGGAAATACCAGGTATCCATATGTAGAACCTACAGAAATCTGAGGTCCTGTGAATCTTGAGGTACCTGCTTGGAGGGGTATGGTATGACAATGGCAAGAGGACCTCAAACAGCCTTAATGATGCCCAGGGCACAGAAGTTAAGAGATGAATGCTCTTTACCAGCTCAGGCCCAAATCTCACTTAACTTCCCTAACCTGGTTTTCCTTACCTAGAAAGGAAAGGTGACAACAGAGCTAAAGGGCTGGGCTGGCTCCTGTTTAAAGAGGACAAGGGCCTTTCGAACAGATGCTAGACAATGTGAATCAATTTATTAAACTGACTGGCCAGTAGTGGAAGTTGAGGGCATTGCTCCCTGGACACATTAGAGGGCAGTGTCTGGATACACTCTTCTAGGGGAGCAGGAAAGGATCTCAAGACATTTGGAGTAAGACTAGAGAAAAGATGAGATAGGAGAAAATGGACATGCAGGATGTGTCCTATCCAGGTGAGGAGGGCAGGGCAGGCAGAGGGCCAGGAACCTTGCCGCACAGCAAGGGTTTTTTTCAAAAGCAAATGAAGACAATACACCTAGAGACAAAATCCAACTGGGAGAAATCCAGGGTTTAGGAATGGAAGAAGCCCTGGAAGTCTGCAACAGGGCTAAGTGGAGAGAGCAAGGCCTAGAGGGGAGGCAAAGAAGTGAGAACAAGGGATAGATCTTAGCTTTATGAGAAGAAAATCTCACATGAGATTCCATGCTGTGAATCTGTGAGCATGCAGCACTGCTTAGGTAATAGGGCTAATTTGCTTTAGGATCTTAATTCTCCATAAAGAAGTAAATCATCAATTCTCGATTACATGAGCAACAACATTTCAAACAGAGGATAATCTAACAGTTATTCTAACCTTGGTCAGGATTCCTGCTGCCATAGAAATTTGGTGTATCTAACATTTAAGCTCTTCACAACCACTTCAAATAAATAGAATTCACAAATATTGGCTGGAGAAGAGTCAATATTGCATCAGAATCCCTCACTGAACTTGGTGCTGTTTCCTCTGGTGAGAACAGAAAACACTCCCCTTGGATGAATGCAAAACATCAGCCCATACTTGCCTGTTCCCCTCACACCTCCCGGGGAGCTGGCCAGGGATAACAATCTATTGCTTTCACAGGCCTTCTCTTCCAGCTACAATTCCAAGAGCTAGATAAGTCCAAAAATCTTAGGTGTCTTCAATTCTAGTAAACATTATTTTCTTTCTCTAAAAAACCTTTGGAGTCCTGGTGTAGCACAGCGGGATAATGGGCTGGACTGCAAGGTCAGTTTGAACCACATCGGACTACCAACATAAAGGTTGGGGGTTCAAACCCATCCAGAAGTGACACTAGAAGACAGGCCTGGGCAATCTTTTTCCTAAAAGTTGTAACAACCTTGAAATCCCTATGAAGTTCTATTCTGCATACATGGGGTCTACTTGAGTCAGAATCTACTCAAACAACCTACTGTTCATTGTTAAGTGTCAAGTCGGTTCAGATTCATGTATAGTGTTTCCAAGGAGCAGCTAGTGAGTTTGAACTGCTAATCTTGTGCCACACCAGGACTCCAAAATGCAGAAAAATATAGTACTTTACCTTTATCGTAGAGGCAACTAGCAACAATCTTTACAATCTGTAAATTCAATATTGTGTTGTGGGGGTGAGGTTACAGCGGAGGGAATTCTCACTTACTCTCAGGGAAAATCTTTGCTTGGAATCCTTTGCCAAAGACAAGATTCTCCAGATTATTGAAGGCCTGAGTTGAGGGAGTTAAGGAGAAGGGTGAGGAATGGGAGCAATGTTAATAATGAGACGGGTACACGCCGCATGAATGACTTTCAACCCTCAAAGCACCCTTCCAAGCTTCGCCTCAACAAGGATACAGTGAGGGAAAAAACGAAGAGGCCAGAACCAAGCAGGCCTCCCTGGATGGTGAGCCACTCCGTGGAGGCCAGCTGGCGGCTGTACATCTGCATTCCAGCGAAGAGCAGCAGGGACAGGAGGGAGGAGAGCGCCAGCGACGTACCCGTACCCACCACTGGAAGGAATGAGAGGAGGGACAGAGAGTCAGACCCAGTATCCCCTCCAGGAGCCGGGCCCCGAGTTCTATGCGTGGCCACTTCCAAGCACTCCCGGGCTGCAACTTCACACCTCCCAACGACCCCCAGGTGGTCCCAGTCCCAGAAGGCAGGAACCCTCCCGTCCCAAGGAAATGCCCGCTGCCTGGAACCCAGGACACGTCAGCTCCGTGGGGAGAGAATCGGGAAAGTCGACCCGCACCAACTCCGACCCCACGAGTCTGCCCTGGGGGATCTCGCCAGTCCCGTTACCCATCATGCACCGCCCGTGAGTCCAATCGGTGCCGCTGGCCAAGAAAAGTACTGGAGCCGAACCGGGTGGGGCTGGTTGTGCGCATGCGTCCGCCGAACGCAGCCGCGCTTCCCTGTCTTCCTCTTTCTCTTTGGCGCCTGGAAACAGTGCCCTCTACCGGAGGGGAGGAGCTGCTAGGTGTCGAAGAGCATCCTAAGCCACCGCCCTGGTCCCCAGCCTTTCCCGGTACCTAAGTGCATCCTTCTGCTGCTTCTCAGTGCAAGCTGCACCTAATCTTTTCAAGCCACTGAGCCCTTGGCTCATAGCTCTAGTTCGTGCCTAGGTCTTCTTGGCCATTTTTGCCTCTTTCAGTTACTGCTCCTTAAACCTCCATCCTCCAAGATCATTGCCTCAACATCAAACGCCCAAACCAAAATTCAGTGCTCCTATCCAGGAGACCATGTTCCTCTGACATTAGCCTTCCGTTTTACATTGGTAAAATTAGGATTCAATGAAGAATGAGAATATAAGAAATGGCTCTCCATTCAAAATACTCTCCCATGTTATCCAACCTCCCCCCACCCCCCACCCCGACCGCCTTCGGAGGACCACGTGGGGAGAACTATTTTCCACCCCCCACCCCGACGGGCGCTGGTCGATGCTTGTCCCTGGAGCATGCGCAGTGACACCTCACCCCCACTCCCTCCCCACACCCCCACTGGGTTCCTGCATTGAGCCCAGGGTTCGCAGCCGCAGTCGGGACCGGGCATCCGGGGGCGGGCGGGCAGCGGCGGGCACGGTAGGGCCATGGCTGAGGGTGATGATATGCAGACCTTCACTTCCATCATGGATGCACTAGTCCGCATCAGTGTGAGTTAAAGAGGGGTCGAGGGAAACGGGAGGGGAATACAAGGGTCGGGGTAAACCCGGACCTTGAACAGGTGGGGATTCGGAAAGATGCGGGGATGTAGACAGGGGGCTGATGGTGGCAGAATTCGGGATGCAGGTGTGAAAGAGTAATCCTGAGGCAGCTCGGAGATGAGCACCGTAAAGGCGTCTGTCTCTGCTCCGGTGTGAGGAATTAGGAGCAGCCCAGATGCGACGGGTGGGCTGAGGTAGCCACCAGCTGTGCACCCAGGGCTGGAGCTGCAGGGAAAAGAGACTATGTTATGAGAATGAGGCATGTGTGAGCTTGGAAAATTAAAAACCGGGAACAGGTGGGGTACGATGAAGGACCCTCCCTAAGGTACTGTCCCCAATTAGGACCCTCCTCGAGACCCCACCCCATTGCACCCCCCTCTCTGGGCCGCCTTGTAGCCTGCGGTTGTCATGACAACCCGTGCCCGCTCTCCCAGGGGCGGTGCCTACCCTGCTCCCCCCCACCACTTCCTTCCACCTCCCTCTCTGCCCCTCCCTCCTTTGTGTCAGCTTCGCCCCTGACCGGGATGGCTGCGAAGAGAGGGACCAAGGTGAGGTGTGGGGGGTGGGGCATAGCCAGCGGACCCCCTCCACAAAAAAGGGGAGGGGTACTTCCGGTGGGGAGGGGGGCGAGTAGGTGGGGCGCTTGTCTTCCCCTAGTGTGAGGAGGGGGCTGTCACTAGCCGGAATACGTTGGGGGAGGAGGCCGGAGGGTGGGGGACGAAAGGGAAAGGGTTGGCATGGAGAAACAGAGTAGTCGAATAGGGAGCGAAAACAGGAGGAATGATGGTTGGGGCCGACGCAGGCCTCGGCCTCGACAGGAGGACGGGTGGGGCGAGCTGAAGGATGGAGAGCAAGTGGCGCGAGGCTATGGAAAGGAGTCAGGCGGGGGGTCTGTAGAGCAGGGGGTGAGGTCCGCAGCTATCTGCAGAATGGGCGGTGTCCTTGAAAGGAGCGGCGGGGAGGTAGCAGCCTGGAGATGGGGGGGATGGGGCAAGGACCAGGTGAGGGGGTGCATGCTGGGCTGCTGCAGCGGGAGTGAAGGGGGTGGGGCTGGGAAAGGCAAGAGCTCCAACCAGCCTTCCTCCTCTAGCTCTGCTGGAGGGAAATAGAGAAAGAGGGCTTGGAAGGTCTGAAACTGGCAGGTGCTGGGGAAAGGCAGTTGGTCATTTGTCATGCCCTTTTCTGAAACCCCTGGGGTTTAAGCTGAGGCCCCTGCAGAAATATGCCCAGGCGTTCAAGTACTGACTCACCCTCCTGGTCCTTCCACAGACGAGCATGAAGAACATGGAGAAGGAACTGCTGTGCCCAGTATGTCAAGAGATGTACAAGCAACCACTGGTGTTGCCCTGTACCCACAATGTATGCCAGGCCTGTGCCCGAGAGGTGCTGGGTCAGCAGGGTTATGTAGGCCATGGTGGGGACCCCAGCTCTGAGCCTACCTCTCCTGCTTCCACCCCTTCCACCCGAAGCCCTCGCCTGTCCCGCAGAACTCTCCCCAAGCCAGACCGTCTGGACCGGCTGCTTAAGTCAGGTGGGCTAGAGTCTGTGAGGTTGGGGTGGGTGGTGTTGGGGTGTCTCTCAGGAAGCTAAGAAGGAGTCCAACTCTGGTCAGGGGCATCTGTCTCTGCCTTTCTAGAAGTGGAAATACTGCTCATCCAGGCTCTACTGAGAACTGAACTCTGGCACAATACAAATCTAATTTTTTAATTGAAATCAACTTCCTCTTACCTCCAGCCACCTAATAACTCTATCTTCCTTACCCATCTACAGGCTTTGGGACATACCCTGGGCGGAAGCGAGGTGCTTTGCACCCCCATGTGATCATGTTCCCATGCCCAGCCTGCCAGGGTGATGTGGAGCTGGGGGAGAGGGGCCTGGCAGGACTTTTCCGGAACCTGACTCTGGAACGTGTGGTGGAGCGCTATCGCCAGAGTGTGAGTGTAGGTGGTGCCATCCTGTGCCAACTGTGCAAGCCCCCTCCACTGGAGGCCACCAAGGGCTGCACCGAGTGTCGTGCCACCTTCTGCAACGAGTGCTTCAAGCTCTTTCACCCCTGGGGCACCCAGAAGGCCCAGCATGAGCCTACCCTGCCCACCCTTTCCTTCCGCCCCAAGGTAAGCAAGCCTTTGCTGAACCGGCGGAGGGAAGGGCATGGTGCTGATGGTTGAATGGTTGGATAGGAATGTCTTCTGGTAGCATGTACATCTGCATTCCAACCAAGAGCAGTGGGGGCTTCTAATCTGATAATGAAGCAGTGGGCAGGGGATTCTCTGTAACAAAATCATTAGATAAAGCATTCAATGTCTCTGAGCCTCCATCTCCTTGTCTGCTGAGTGGGGACAATGATACATTCCCTGCAGTAACTAAACCTGCAGGGTGTTGGGAGGATCATATGAAACAATGTTTATGAAAGTTATCTGTACACATTCATTCACTGAGCAAATATTTATTGAGCACCTATGTGCCTGGTGCTGTTCTAGGCACTGGGGTTACAACCAAGAACAAGGTTAATTATTAACCACAAGATCAAGATTAATTATCATCATCATTATTATCATTACCACTCATCCCCTTGAGTTAGAGGAAGGAAGGAGCAATGCTGATGAAATGGGCAAACTGGCAACTGTGGGGAAAGGCCTCTGATGCCAGTGTGTACCACCAGGTGGCACTGTGGAGCACCACCAGCTAGAATTCCCCTCCACCCACAGTGCTCTACTGGATAGGTGAGCACCCTTGCACCATTGGCTGACTATCTCATTACTCTTTATGCCCCTAGGGCCTGATGTGCCCAGACCACAAGGAAGAGGTGACCCACTACTGCAAGACATGCCAACGACTAGTATGTCAACTCTGCCGTGTACGGCGCACCCACAGCGGGCACAAGATCACACCAGTGCTCAATGCCTACCAGGCCCTCAAGGTGAGGACCCTTCCTCATCCAACCCCAGTGCTAACTCAGATTCACCCCATCTGTGCCTCCTGCCAATGGCTGGTTTCTGCCAGGCCGGGCATGATGCCCACCTTTCTTCCCCCTCAGGACAAGCTGACAAAGAGCCTGACATACATCCTGGGAAACCAGGACACAGTACAGACCCAGATCTGTGAGCTGGAAGAGACCGTGAGGCACACAGAGGTGAGGGAGGGCATGGAAGTAGGCCCTGGGCCCTGCCTGGGAGTGGGCCAGGAGGGGATGAAAGTGGGCACAGCCCAGTCATCTGCTTGCAGATTCAGAAAGCCTGTGGGGTAGGGGAAGTTTCCACATGTGGTGAGGTTCTGGTGAAATTAGGTTGGCAGGAATGCCAATGCCCCAGGCCAGGCTGTACCTGGAACTACAGGGGGTAGGGGGGTGGCTATAGCTCAGGACAGGGAGAACTCAGAAAGCCCCAGGGACATAGCTCAGAAGTTTGCAGGCCTAGCTGCCCCTGGGGATGGCACACATGCTCGGAAGTAGGAGCTCGGAGGTGAGGCTCTTGATACCTCCTGCCAGATTGCTTGAGTCAACTGATAGAGGGATGGGCAATCAGATGGCACAAAGGCCAGTGGACATGAGTGTAATCTTGACCTCTTTTATTTGGAAGGGTCCTTAATAGGTCAGGATTATAAGGTGGGCATCCAAGAAGGTTAGCACAAATGGTCAGGAGTTGAGCCCACCTTGGCACTCATAGTGAGCCTGCATAGGGTTATTGAGGCTGCAAATCTTTACAGGAGCAGAAAGCCTCCCCTTTCTCCTGAGGAGTGGCTGGTGGATTCGAACTGCTGACCTTGCGATTAGCAGCCCAACATATAATCCACTGCGCTATCAGGGCTCCTTACCTTTTTCTATAAGCACTTTAAAGCCACAAGCCTGGCCCGATTGAAATGATGGATAGGATTTCCCCGGATCCTTTGTGATCCTAGCTATGGAGCCGTCCCAGGAGGCTTGTGCAGGTGCTGCTTCAAAGGGAAATAGTAAGTCATGCCTCCTGAGGGTGTTTCTCCTTGGGCAGGTAAGCGGTCAGCAGGCCAGGGAAGAGGTATCCCAGCTAGTGCGAGGGCTGGGGGCTGTGCTGGAGGAGAAGCGGGCATCGCTGCTTCAGGCCATTGAGGAATGCCAGCAGGAGCGGCTAGCCCGGCTCAGCGCCCAAATCCGGGAGCGCCGGAGCCTGCTGGATGGCTCAGGTCTGGTGGGCTACGCCCAGGAGGTACTT